AAACTAAGAGTAGAACCTAATTCTCCTTCAACTGATAGCCAGAAAGATATTGAAAATGGCCATTGTTAGGCAGCTAAACCTTTTTTCATGAGTATTCTCGTCTTTTAAAAAATTTCGTACTCGAGTATTTTCTGAAAAGTACTCGAGTACTTTTTAGAAAATACTCGTACTCGTACTCATACTCGACGCCCATTACTCGTACTCGATGCCCAGTACTCGTACTCGTACTCGAGAATCTGCGTATCGCCCATCTCTATTTAATATGCCTAACGTATGACAACAAGCCCCGATCTATCAAGTAAATGCTCCATAGCTCATGACCAATGTTTTCACATTCATAAGTGTTTTTTTCTGCTTTGACAATAACATCAACAACAAATCAACTATCTATTCATGCTGTGACGATGATACAGAGACAGTTAACTACTTTTTTACTTGTATATTAGAGAAAAGAAAGAACATATTTCACTCAACACTGATATGATAGTTTTGTTAGTTTATGTTTCTATTCTTTGTGTATAATGTTATATCATTTGTGTTTCTCCCAAATAAAAAAGCAACATCGTCACCTCACAACTAAGGTCCGTTAGTGATATGAAGTGCTATTATATTCCTGATACTTTGTATTCAACATTGTATTCCGCAAGCTCATACAATCTGTTTAAATTCTGGAAAAGCTTCACGTTTGTGTTGTAAATCAAATCAACCAGCAACAAAATTTAACCGTGTGGATTTTCCACAACCAGTGCATCACGGTATTGTTGTATTCCTGCGAGAAGCGGTCAAACAGTAAAAACGTCTGATTAACCAAAACTGAACAGGTGAAATTGCACAGCGGGGCGGGAAAGGACGAAACTCTAGCATCCTCTTTGCGGATGATACCCGATGAATCTAGCCGACGAATTTCTTTTTAGGGCCCCCGAATTTAATTTTCGAAAGTACCCCGATTTTCAAAAATTTCGAAGTTCGGTGATATGCCACTGTAGGGCACTTTTTTTAAATGTACTTCAAGCTAGAGATCTCGGATTGTCAGATTTTTGATTTAGGTCTTCGATGGTTTTCTAGAGATCCAAGATCCTCAAAACCCGAAAAACTCTTTTCGGATTTTTCAGAGATAAATGATTTTCTAGAAAACTAAGGTCTAATTCAAAAGTCCACTCCGATCAGCCCACGCAGCTAGGTGTCTACATTAAAATAAAACCAGCCCGAGATCTCTAGCTTCAAGTATGTTTAAAAAAAGTATCCCACACTGGGCATGTGCGAACGAAAACCGTGTTGAGAGAAAACGCTGTGCATTCGTTGGTCTATTTAAGGACATGTAGGAAAATGCTTGTAATTTTTAAGCGCAAGATCACACAGAGTTGTGCAACATCATATTTTGATCAGAAAAGTTTGCTGCTACTTGCTCAGAAAAAATTTACTTACGTAAGTGTTCAGAAAAAAATTAATCCAAAAAAAAATTAAAGACCCTGGCTTTCAAGACTTCTAGAAAACTTGCTTGAAAACCACGAAAAACCAATTCCAAGTCCAGCCCGAAAGCGATACAGATCATGACAAACCATTACGAAAACATTTTAAATTTAAGTTCTGAGTAAAGGAGAATCGATGCACGGGCTCGAGATCTGTCGTTCACTCCAGACTGGTGTCGTTACGTCGAAAAACGGCCTTTTAACCTACATAATTTCGTTTTGCAGCGAAAGAAAAAAATGACGCCATTTCAAATATGATACGAGTATACGCAGTTTCTAATGATTTGTTCAGTGGTGAGAAATGTATTTTTCAAAGTTTAGCCGTTTCGGAAAAGATGGTTTCCACTTGAAAAATTTGGCTAAATCTTTCGAAAACTCTTTCTTTTGCTCACTCTTGTCTTTAAAAACAGTGCATTGCTTTCTCATAGTTTGCCAAGTAACTTTTGTTGCTATTGTAATGGTCAACGTCGTTAATGCAATCATTTCTCTACTCTATCATCTTTAAATCTATTCGATATTTTCGCAAGCGATACTGGTTTTTTCTCTTTTTTGTATAAACTTTTTATTGATAAATAAGAGAAGAACGCAAGTAAATCGTATCGTGCTATCAGACGCAGAGCACCCATTATAAGCAGCATAAAAAATGATAAATTCAAATGTTTAAATAATAGTATCAAGTGAACAAAAAATAAAATAAAAGTGGTTAGAGAAGACATTTTCCATTATTTAGCACACCTAAAGGCAAAAGAAAAAACAACAAAATAAGCATTTATGTGTAAGAAATGAAAATTGATAAAGAAGAAGAGAGAAAGAAGTAATGGTCGCTCGAGTAGATGATATAGAAAATATCAATAAGTAACTGAGAGTAAACTAGGACGATATTGTTCAGTGAAAAAATAAATCCAAAAAAACTTCGCCTCAATTAAAAAAAAGGTGTAGTCTTGCATTTCAAATCACCACTTTGAAACAAAAACTTTTGTACTCGATTATTTTTAAAATCACTAACATATAAATTTGATTTTGAATCAAATGCAATAGTAATTGGTTCATTCAAATGTTTTGCATCGGCCTTAGCACCAAGTTCCTTTCGTACATTATTTTTAAGAACACTAACTTGTATATTTGAGTTTAACTCAAATCCAAAACCAAACGACGGAGGCGAATCTTGTTCGCTTTGTACTCCAACAATGACTCCTTCACCTAATTTCATAACATAATTTTGCTGTCGACCGACGATGTAGTAATTACCGAAATGATTGAGGATATTTGAAGGATAATAGAGATGAGCTGATGTATCTGTTGGAACTATCAATCTAGGTGGACTATAGTTCTTATCAAGAAATGTTTTAATATCATCCTCCTGTACATTGGCTGTGGCAAAACTATCGCATTGATCAATGAAGACGCCGTATCGTTGTTGTTGCTGTTTTAAATCACTTTTACCTTCTGACGAATTCTGCAGATGCTTCGACGAATATTTTCTAATTCTACTTGCCGAATTACCGGGAATATATTCTGCTACGTACATATCCTTCTTCTTATGTAGAAACACACCGAACACACAATCTTTTTGATCACTGTTACCAGAGCTTATGGATCCACCGCCACGGCTCTTTACAATCCACTCTTCTCCGGTAGCCGCAAATATGTTACCAGCAGAATCAATGCATACATCAACAGAACGATTAGTAGAGTTTGCACTACTACCGGCAACTATTTTTGATGATGAACCGTTTACTGGAAACTTCTGTAGACGTCGATGGCCTAAATCTGCGACGTAGAGATTATCATACTGATCAATGTAGATACCACGTGGACCAGAGAGATTTCTGGCAACCGTAATACCGTTCTTATTCCATTTCGGTTTTTTACATTTAGGTGTAGCTGTGAACGACAGCACAAAAAACAAAATGAAATTTTCGAGGGAAGTTAATTTAAGAGAACCAAATTTTTACCTTTCGAACTGTGTTCTGGTATATAATATTCAATTGTTTCAATTTGCTCACACTCCCTATCATTTGTTTGCAGTTTTAAAAATACTGTAAAATTTGTTGGCCAGTGTGGTGACGGGAATGCTCGATAATATGGACATGTAACCTGAATCTTTTTCTTCTTCTTGGCCGACTTTTCAACTTTTAAATGATATAAACATTTTGGCTCAGTAATACTTCTGTTAGCTGACTGAAGAAAGAGAAGAAAGAAGACGATGATAAATACGCTAAACACACACATGTAACTCCTAACCCTATCTCCCCAATCCAAACATTCTTCTCTATAAACATTTTCCATACCATACAATGACTGCATACATTTATGATATTTTAATACATTCCGACGCGATGTACATTTTGGTAGTGCTAATGACCTACGTCAAACGAAACTCGTACACGATTTTAGATTGAATAAAAAGCTTAATTTTAAAATGAGAGTTTTTTCTGCAGTTTTCACATAATGTAGGAACACAGTGAGTAATACAAAAGTTACGATAGTACTAAAGACTAAGATTTCTCGTCATAGTATATCAAAATTAGCTCCTTCCCTCCTCATACCAGTAGACAGAAGAATGTCTGCTCCACAATGACTATGCCGCTGAAAGCGTTCTCAAACGGCCTTCCTTTTGTCTGTTACTTGGACTCGATATCGTCTGCTTTCATATCGATCGTCCGATCAATCCTCGTGAATGATATTGAAGTGATAAAACGAATTAAAATAACGTAAAACCATTGTTTCTGACGTCTATAACCACCAAAAACTAGTCTTACCAAAGGCTCGATGCTTACAAATGATACGAGTAAAAAATGAATTTCTAAATTCTGAGAATGGTAGGTCAGTAGTGCCGACACCAGCCTGACCTGCGTGGTATCCCATCAAATTTACTTTTGTCTATATTTTTAATGAGCCATAGCTTATACAGAATGAAATCATCGACCTATTCTAAGTAATCCACATGTATAGAGCTTTTTTGGCACAAAAGTTTGTACGAGGCGAGATGACGTGAAAAAAACGAAATTAAGCAGAAATGCAGAATAACGTTTCGTCGTACGTATTATCACATTCCAAGGCTTAACAAGTTTAGTCTTACCAAACGTAAAATAAATCCGTAACGATGAATAAGAGCAACAGTAAAAGCTTCATCACGGCTGCTGTTACCCGTAAACCAAAAACTTATCTGTAATAAACTCTGTTGTAATATGTGACGAGGTGTCGAATTCTTGAATAACAGCGAAGACAAATAATCAGTTAACTTTTTTGTACATAAATATGGATACAGCAACTTCTTTTTTTGTATCACCGAAAAATATTTTTCTTACATACAGAAGAATATTTTATAGTTCTTACATGGAGAGTGGTAAAAACAAAGAATTATTTTCCTTTTTATTTTTGGTTTCTATCTATATCTATATATATACATATATATATTTATGCTATTATACTTTCTCCTTTCTTAATTAGATTAGCGATTAAGCTATTGTTATATTCTTTTTTTAACAATTAATTGATACCGGGAACTACGGTTAATAAGCCAGTTGTCGGATACAAAATCACTTGTACATACATGATGAAAGATGGGTGCTACAGTGATAAAATGGTGGTATTCAATCGTTATCGTTGTACATGGACATGCCAACGTCTTAGCATGTTTGCTGTACAATTCGTTGAATGATGCTAATGTTGGTTGTGGAACAGTGACTGTCTTTGTGATTTCTATTAATGAGGTGTAGATGACTAGAATGTACAATGAAACACACAAAAGTGTGCTGAGTAGTCGTGTAGATATTCTGCTTTTCATTTTTCAGTTCATTCTAGTGTGCTTTCCACGATAGAGATTCTGTGATTATATACTTCTGTGATACATGAAAATGTTTTCCATATGCATTATGATTGTTATATATATTATTGGGATTCAATAGGATTTTGTTAGAATCCTTTACAATGCTAAGCGGAATCGGAGTCGGGAACTTCATAGGTCTCTTAGTAGGGTTATTGCAGCAGATGATGGTATCAATATGAGTTGAAAAGAAGATCCTAATGTTGTTCTATAAGTAAAAGCTTATGAGAAAAGCTGAATATTGCACTTAAACTCTACTAATAAGATACTATTAGACACTGCACAAATCCGGGAACAAATGTAAGGAAGAATCGAAAATCAACTTTTACTAATTTTGACTGCTAAGTAACGACCAGGTGGTCGTTACTTTGCCCGAGCTACATTTTTAATTAACACTAAGCCTCATTTTCATAATCTGTACGTAAAACCTGATCTACTGGACTATTTATCAGCGTCGATGGAACTACGTTTCTTTAATAAGTTAGACTAAAAGAACTACTCTCCATTTGTTACTTTAACGCTGAAATGTTTTTATTAAACTGTCATGAATGATTATATTATATACCACTTTACCACTAAAAAAAGTTGTTTATTTTCATGACTGTTAGACTCTAATTGGCAAAGCTATAAAGACTGTATTTTTGGCAACCATAGTAGTTGTTCTATGAGCTTAGATAAGTAAGTAGAATCTTTAACCTTTGTCACTTAGGGTCTAATGGGAGAACTTTTTCTCGTTTTTGCTTCGGAACATACTTAATAATAGATAGTTTCTGATACTGATTATGTATTCGATATTCATTCGTTCCCAAATTGCGATTAAGGGCTCCGTCAAATACATACACTATGTGTAGAAATTTATTCTCCTTCTAAATGTAATCATAATTATAATTTATATACGGTAAGAGTAGGAAAAGAAATATGAGAGTCAGTAAATCATTAGTAGAGATATAGATAGCATATGACTGTTTGATAAGAGTAGAGAGAATAAATTTCTACACACATTGCATAATGGTGAGATGATGAGAGCGAGCCAATAGCGGAAGGCTACAAAACTCTAAATATCAAAAAGCCTAAATGTCTCAATGTCTAAAACTCTAAATATCTATAAATAGTCCGAGGTGCAAAGACAAGTAAGACAAACAGCCACGTCACAATGAGGAAGAATCGAAATATAAAAATGTCAACCTGTCTATGTGGTATCCGAACCGACCCGTGTTTAAAAGAATTGTAACTTGCAGTAAGAGCAGCTGAATAATTGGCAAAAATCCATGGGTAGTATTGGCGACAGTCATATTGACGTACTTCTCGATTTCCGCTTTTTACTCTGCTAACCCGGCGGATTTTGTTCTCTCTGTTATCACTTGTAGCATGCCAGATATCTTACTGCACTTATCCTACAAGGTCTGTAGGATTTCATCGTGAAGAAAGGAAACCGTAGCTCGCAGAAAAAGTTGTTACACGGTCGGCGTGGAAGTAAGCATAGATAAAAAGTGCATTGTCTAAGATAAAAAGACTAATAAAATTGTTGAGGAGAAGTTAAGGGAACATTACAAAATATATTCCAATCGCTATTACGACTACAGAATATTTCATTTTATAGCAGTTTTGCTATATATATACAACTGATACATATCATACTTCATTTTCTTTTCTAATTGTTTGTTTTTTCTCAAAGACATTCAGCCGTCGTGTTTCGAAAGATTATTTATTTATCAAGCTACCAAGAACACATTTCTTCTTTAGTTCATTCTACTGTCATACCGTTTAGGCTTTCTTAGAACAAAATATCTCTCCTAATACAAGGAAAATACAATAGTATATGCTTTTTATTGTGGATAAAAAGATTTATGTGAAAAGTAACTAGAAGAAACAGCCCTGATCATACTAGAATTTTAGTATTACATGGGAAAGTTTTCGTTGTTAAGATAGTCATTAATTTTGATGAATTCATAAATATTCGAGAAAACTTTATCATCCATTTATTATGCCTGCCTGAATTAACAAAAATATTTTTATGGAATGAAAAACCATTGATAGTGGTGTTACGCTTATTACATTCATTCAGCATAGCATAATTATTAAAAACATTTAATTTGACTTGTTGTGCCTATGATCGTGAAGATAAACAAGCAAAAAACGTTCGAATGTTTACTGAACTAGCGGAGTTTAGCCTTTTATTGAACAGAAATGTTTATATTGTTAGGGATAATGAGAATTTAATGAAAGCAACGTTTCGTGAAAATAGAATTGATTTTACAGCACATTATTCTAAAAAAATCTACTTTCTAGATTCTACTAAAATTTTAGAACATACATTTACAAAAAATGATATCGATTGTAGTGATGTCTAATAATTATTTTTGTTTGTTAAAGCAATTGTAAATCGTGTTAAACGTTTACATAAACAAGCACAGTTACGACATACATTACCATCATTTTCATACACAGGATTTAATGGTGTTCATATTATAATAAAATCAATTGTAACTTTGCGATGAATTAACTGTTATATCACAAAATGAAATGAAAAACAAATTGGCAGATATAGATAAATTATTGTTACAATTTATACTTTCTTATTTAAGAAGTTTTGATGACGTAACAGAAGCACTAAGTCCAGATCAAAATTCAACTATCTATGAAGTAATTCCATTACGTCAAATGTTAGTTCATTCATCATTGATAACAACCGGATGATACGAAGGCTATAGGAACTCTAAAACAATATATTGGCAAAGAATTATTAAATAATTAGGCTATGACTGCTGAACATTATGTAGCTGTTGTAGTACATCCGCTCTTAAAATATTTTCAAACATTACTAGATTTCAAACAACATTCATACGCAGTTCTTCAGAATGAAATAAGAACAAAATAAATTCTGATAATAATACAAGACAACCGATAGATTCAAGTACGACATCGTCAGCTACATATTACAGGTCAAATGATAATAGTCGAATATTTTGACAAGATGAACCCAGGTAGTGTTTTAAAAGATGAATTGAATTTATTCACTTGACTGAAGATCTGGAGTCGTATGAAATAAATGTCGGCGTCGGCATCCATATAACAAAAATACAATAACTAGTAAAGTGTAAAGTTCCAAGGGATGATAATGATACAGTATAGGCAATCGGCTATGGCGATGCAGGAAATCACCATGAGCGACCTCTACGATCAGTCGTGCAGGGTGAAAAAAAAGTCGTAAAATCGATAACCATCGAAAGAAAACCGTTTAGAAGAACCATGAAGTAAAAACTACCCAAGCAAAAGAAAACATCAATAAGCTAGCTTATCAACTTTTTCTTTTTCTTGGGTGCATTATGAAAACTGTAAAATGCAAAAGTATAGAAGTAAAACTGAAAAGGTTAATAACATAGCAAAAAAAACTGTCAGCTTTCGAATCATCGAAGGAAAACCCTAAAATAAAACCATCAGTTGTGAAATTAAAACCACGAAAAAATATCGTAAAGCT